ACAAAGGCACTGCACTTAGGAGATTCGCTGTGAGAATGATTAGGGTTGATACCGAAGGCCCGGAGGGCACATGTGGTCAACCATCCAGATGGAGGGTTGGGGTGTCCCCCGTCCTCCAGCTTGGAGAGCAATACTGCATCCAGTTTCTATCCCTGGAGCCCCCAGAAGTCCAGACACCCAGAACAGAAATCAAAACAGACTCGCCGTGGGAGAAACCAGATCTGATGTCATCGGGCGCCAAACAGGACAAAAAAACCCAGAAAAACAGACCAAGGGTCTTTTAGGGAATCCCGAGACAAGCACCCACAATGCTCAGGGTCAGAAGAATTCCCTGAATTGATCACTCGGACACTGAGACTCAGGAGAACTTAACTGCTTTATTGAGACCGACTGGCCGAGAACGCAGACAGGCTTGGGAGCTGCACTGCGACCCAGAGCTGTGGAAACACAGGGCTTTTAAGCACAAAAACTGCAGAGCAGGGGATTTCTATAGAAACCATAAACAGAAGAACCAGGAAAGGATTTGAACAATCTAGGGCTGATTTCCAGAGCCTTAACTTATACAGCCATTGGCTAGCTTACCTGGGGCAGAACGTTCTTCTTCTTCTGCCCCAGACCATTTCCATAGAAACCATAAACAGATGTACCAGGAAAGGGTTTGAACAATCTAGGGGATTTCCAGAGTCAAGTGAAGGGCAGCTCTTTCTTAGAGGACAGGGAAGGGGTCTGAGGGGCACTCTCTTTCAATATGACATTTGGGAGGGGGTGCCTTACAAAAGCATGGATTCTTACAGGCTTTTCTTTTTCCATGCAGCTCCACCGCTTAATGAGCTTGACCCCCTCCTCAGAATGTGGGAAGGAGGTAGGACCATGGCTTATCAGAACATCCGGTTCACACATGTCATGCCCAGAAGTCTGCATTCTACACTATTCCCTTCTTCCTCTGTGCCTCCTGTGTCACTCCCTGAGGCTTGGAGGGAGTGATGTAGATGTCCCATTTTTTATTATTATTTTTGGGGTTTTTGAGACAGGGTTTCCCTGTAGCCTCAGCTGGCTTGAACTTACTATGTAGACCAGGCTGGCGTTGAACTCACAGTGATCCACCTGCCTCTGCCTCTGGAGTGCTGGGATTAAAGGCATGTGCCACCACACCTGGCAGATATCCCATTTATGACTGAGCATTCAATAGTCACTTGTTCTCAGCATTTTGACCAGGTATGAGTCTCTGCAGTTAATGTTAGATCTGTATTGTCTTTCAACTTGATATTTTAAAATATAAGGTACTTATTCCCCCTGGTTGTCATTGGCTAAATTTTCTTTGAGTTGCTTTAACTTCACATACTAATTTCTGTGTGCTTGAACTGATAAACTAGACCAAGAATTAATTGCCAATATAAAAAAACCTAAGTTTTTCTCGCCTAGAAAAGCCAGTGTTTCAACAAAATATGTTCACATGAAAAGCTGTCTCCATAGTTAGCTTGGTTCTCTGTGACTACTCACTTATTGTGTTCCACTGAAACAGGAAGTGACCTCCACAGGTACTTTTCATTTGTTAAACATTGTTGAATACCCAGATACAAAAGGGTTTGGTCTTTGCCACCTCAGACCTCACTTTCACAGGTAATACTTTTTGCTTAGTACATTTTTATGCAATCTATCCTTTTAGGAAAAAATAATGCTCCTTTATATACCCTGAAAGTTGTTACAGGAGAAGAGGAAAAAAGCATTGCACATCTTGCCATATATAACACTTTTTTTCCCCTTAAAAATCTGTTTCCTTGCTGAATTTTTCTAAGTTGTTAACATTTTCATCCATGTTGCTGATTTTCTCATCCATTTTGCTTACTGTCTGTGTTGCTGACTTAACTCTCAAGGGGTGGGTTGAATTCATCTGTTTGTGTCCTCTTTTACTTCACTCATCATTTTTACTGGAAAACTTGAAATCTTTATCTGATATTTTCCCTGTTTAGTACCTTTGAGTTTAGTTGTCGAGTTTACGATTAAGTCATACTGCCCTACTTTTTTTCGTATTTCTTATATTTCTATGTTGTGATTTACACACTTGTTAGTTTGGCTGTCTTCTGGGTTGCGGGGGGAGCTGTGTATTGATCTCTTGAAGGGATTGATGCTCTTGAAGGGTCACTCCCAGTACTACTCAGTGAGGAGGAAATAACTGCTATAGCAGCATTATCATCAATCCAAGATACAGAAAGGCACTTAAAATCAGCTGTGACCATAGTACTGAAAATTGCAAAACTACTGTAGTACATGCTGTGGAGTTAAAAATTATCTAGGATAAATGTGGAAATAGTAAGCAAATGAGATAAAGGAAGAAAACAGGAAAGGGGAGAAAAGGAGAAGCGGTAAAACAGATGAAAGCAGAGGCTGGAGAGATGGCTTAGCAGTTAAGAGCACTGACTGCTCTTGCAGAGGACCCAGGTTTGATTCCTAGCACCCACATGGCAGCCACGAACCATCCTTAACTCCAGTTCCAAGGGTATCCGACACCCTCTTCTGACTTCTGCGGCATTGCACAACGTGGGTGCACTCACATATATGCAGGCAATACACATACACATAAAATAAAAAGATAGGTAAATATATTTTTAAAAATAGATGAAAGCAGAGAAGAATGCTGTGGAGGGGAAGAGAAAGAAGCAAGAAATTGGGATAAAAAATTGTAAAGGGAAAGAAAGATTTATTAGTAGTGAAATAGTTCAAAAACAAAATTAGGTAAATGTAAGAATGGAAGTTTTTTAAAAATGATTTTTTAAAAAGTCAGTAAGGTGCTGGGTGTGGTGCCCCGCTCCTTTAATCCCAGCATGGGAGGCAGAGGCAAAAGAATCTGTGAGATGGAGGCCATCCAGGTCTACATAGCAGCAAGTTCCAGGCCAGGTGGGGCTACAGGTGAACCTTGTTTCAAAAACATACAAAGAAACCAAAAGGTAAAGCCAGATACTACTAACTGTGGGGCAGAGAGAAAGAGGGATACAGAAGCCAAAGAGGAAAAAAAAAAAAAAAAAAAAAAAAACTTAGCACCTAAGAATGGGGATAAGCATGCATAAAAAAATTGACTGTATAAAAGAGAATAACAAAATTTAAAAATAAAGTGCAATAAAAATCCTGACTAAATGTGTAGGGAACAAAAAATCACAGGAAAATAAAATTTTTGGAAAGTGGAGTTTGCAACTTGGGAGGCAGGCAGAGCTCTGTGAATTCAAGGCCAGCCTGGTCTACATAGTGAGTTCCAGGCCATCTGGGGCTACAGGGAGACCCTGTCTCAAAAAAAAAAAAAAAAAAAAAAAAAAAAAAGTGATTACTAGTTATATACACAGGAGGAAGAAGGTCAGTTGAACTTGTGGGCTCTTAATTTATGTTGTTGAGTCTCTATGTCCAATACAGACTTGTCAAAGTGTCTGATGTCTGCTAGAGCTGTTTTCGCAGTTTTCCTTTTTAGTCTATTAGAGCCTCTTCTGGCTACACTTAGCTTTATATACCATATGCATTCTGTGGGCTAGACAAACCTCATCCTTCCCAGATTGTATACCCCCTAGGGTGGCTGTTTCAGTTTGGGGGTGTCTCACAAGTTCATTGGCAGTGTAGGAAGCAACTACAGCACTGAAATCAGTGCTCCAGAGGACTTGCCTTCTTATTTTTAAGTCCCTGAATGTTAAATCACACTGATGGAGGGATATAGCTGTGGGTAGCAAGTACAGCCTGGAACTTCAGAGTTCTTGGGCTCTAGAGAAGGGAACAGTGGATAGGTAGCTCCAGAGTTTGATCCATCCACTGGTCTTGGGCTCAAGCTATCTGACTCTAGAGTAATTCTCATTGGTGATATCTGTTCCCAGTCATAGAGAGGTGGGGCTCTCTTTTCCTTGTGCACTTCTCAGCCTGATCCAGCTTCCTGTTGCCTGTACCCTTTGGCTCATCATGGTCTGGGCCTCCTCTCCACAACTGCCTCTCTGGGCCTTGTCTCACCTAGGGGCTGGTGGCAGGCCAAACTGAGACTGAACTTAACCTCTAGGGCAGCCCAGTTATTAACAATAGATTGTCTCTTAAGATGATGCCTGACTATTGCCCTCCGATTTATTTTAGTATGACAAAATGCGATTTCTCTCTTCTGACTGCTCCATGGGAGGAAATCTCTGCCTTGATCAAAACCCACAAATAGATTTAATGCTCATGGGGGCTGTAGAGTTGTCCTGAGAGAAGGACTATCTGGCTTTCATCTGGATGCCTTTTGGAAATGGCTTCTGAGTCAGCGTGCCTCTCCCACCCCCAAAATGCTCAGCTGAGATTGTGTTCAGCTTGCTGTTCTGTTGTTTCTTTTTTCCTGCCGTTTATGTCTTTGTTTCCCTCAGGATTCCTAAGCTTTTCTTCTGTGTATCTTGTTGACATAAAGCCTATTTTTTCTTATTCTGAATCTTTCCTTCAGTGACTTTCATAGAAGCAGCCTCTGATCCACCATCTTACCCAGAAGTCTAATACCAATTAAGAAAGGTTTTAAAAACTTGAAACTAGCCAATAACAGCTAAGGAACTTGGGGAATTTTCCTCAGAGAAATGCACAGTCCTTTGTGAAGGCTGCACAGTATGGGAAGAATGCCAGTTCTACCCAATAGGCTATCCTAATTTTCTCTATTCCCCAAAAGCAAAGGTGACTATTGATGGGTTACTTTATACTGATGATTTCTTCAGCAACTTAACCACTTTTTCCTCAGTAAAATAACAGATAATTTGTAAGATGACTGTGAATGTGCCTGATTGTGTGTTTCTGGTGCTGTGAATGGAAGATGGCCTCATGGATGTTAGGCAAGTGCTTTGCTAGTGAGCTACGTGAGTTATTTGGGTACTTTTTTTTCTTTTATAATTTATGTATTAGCTGCTGTGTTGGGGTAGTGTTTTGTTTTGTTTTTGCCATTGCTGACATCTTAAAGCACCTGTTAAACTTGATACATGACTAATCAATATGAATTATGATTTTCTTTTCGAACACAGCAAAGAAGAGTCGTGTTGTCTCTGATGCTGACGACTCTGACAGTGACGTTGTATCAGAAAAGTCAAGTAAAAAAGAAAAGACTATAGCATATGACAGCGAAGAAGAAGTAGGGAAAGATGAATCATCTGTTAAGAAAAATGAAGAGAAGGATCTGTTTGGGAGTGAGAGTGAATCGGGCAATGAAGAAGAGTAAGTGGGAGCATATGGGTTTTCAAGGACTCTTGTTTGGTGGTAGAGAGGGGCTCCATGGTGAGGTATATTACCTCACCTGCCCAGTTGCATGGCTTTGGACAGTTAAGATTTTAGTTGTAAAGTATTACCCGTACTGCAACATGAATGGATCTCAGAAATAATAAGTTAATGAAGGAGGTAAAGAGGATATATAGTTTCATTTACAAGAAGTTTAACTACTGACAAAACTTATCGTACTGAGGGTCAGTGGTAGTTGTCTCTAGGATCTTGATGTTGGAGGCCTGACTAGAAGGGGCTGTAAGGGAGCTTTGGGGCAAATAGGTGTGTTCTACATCTTGAATTAGGGTGCTGGTTACATGAATGCTTATGTATTAAAGCCCATTGTTCTGTACATAAATTATATCCTATTGTAAAAAATGATACCTATGCAAATGGGAAGAAAGCAGGTGAATGTTTTATATTTGCTTATTTTCTAGAAATCTTATTGCAGACATATTTGGAGAATCTGGTGATGAAGAGGAAGAGGAATTTACAGTAAGTATAAGGTGGAACTATTCATTTTCAACTATGCTTTGGCTTTTATTCTGTCAGTTTTCCAATAATTTCACCAAATGGTGAAATAGTTTAAAGCCCTACAAAGAGGGAGGATGTTTTAGGTTGTATGAATTGGTTTCCAGATTCTGTTGTAGAATTTGCAAAGTGTAGGAGGATTTCTCATCTATGAGTAGTATGCTGCCATTTCTTTAATAAAAGGAAATGCTGAAGTGTGAATATGTTTGCACAAATGTGAATTCTCGAACAAAACAAGCTTCCCACACTAGTAGTGACTAGGGGAGGGAGCTTTTGCTACAGATCACTCCCCCCTTTCTTTTAAAAACAGGGTCTTGGGTCTCACTATATAGCTCTGACTGGCCTGGAACTTGCTTGTAGACCAGGCTGGCCTGGAACTCACAGAGATCCACCTGCCTCAGGCTCCCAAGTGCTGGGATTAAAGACCCTACTGATAACGTCCCTTTTGATACTTATTTGCTTTTTCTTTTTTTTAATGGACATATTATTACATGTAAAAAAAATAGCTGTTATGAAGAAGAAAGTCTATAAGGTGATGGTGATAACTTGGGCTAACTCACTGTGCCTTTAGGGTTTTAACCAAGAAGATTTAGAGGAAGAGAAAAGCGAAACACAGGTAAAAGAAGCAGAAGATTCAGATTCTGATGATAACATAAAGAGAGGAAAGCAGTAAGTTTTTTGTTTATTTTTAAGAAATTTCAATAGAACTGAAAAAAATGAAGATGAGAGGCTATTGAGAACTTTCCTGTTTTTCATTTCAGTTTCCAGATTTGGAAGAAAATGGGTTTCCTTCTTTTTTTTCCTCCTCCACCTCTGGATAGTGTCAGTGAATTATTTGCTGTTATTTGCCCATTATTTGCCCTGTGCTCAGATGTTTAGTTTATAGCATTACATGATACCGGGCTCCAGGTTTATATGATACCAGGTACCAGGTTTACCAGATAAATTCTACTGAAAAATAAGCTAATAAAAGCCCATTTGGGGTGGTAAGTCTAAAACCAACAGCAAAATACTGCTTAATTATATTTTACTTTTGTTAAGTAGTTAGGAACTGTGTCCAAAAGTCTGATACCATGAAAGTTATGATACATGCATAGAGTGATTCGCCTCTGTTTACGTTGTACAGATCATTCCTTTTAAAAAGTAGTTATTAAAAAATTTTTTTAAGTGATTTTAAAAAATAGAAAAATAAAAAAATGGAAAAAAATAAGAGTAGTTCTCTTTCAATTACATGCAAGAATTAAGCATAAGGATTTGAGTGGTACTTTTGGAAAATTGAATTTATTAACATTTGACAAGTGGCAGGGGTAAGTTAACACCCTCCTTTAAATGAGTCTGGTGACTACTGTAAAGATCTGGGGTTCCTAGAAAACCTATAATCAACATTGTTTTGAGTTGTGCTCCTTGTCAGTAAAAAGCAGTTTAGTTTTTCTTTTTTTTTTTTTTTTTCTAGTCACGGTAAATAAGACCAAAACATTCAAATAATTGAACATTATTCTAGTTCCGAAAAGACAGTACAACTAAACCGAGTGTGCCTCTGATGGAGGACCTGTAATACTCCTTCTCAAACTAATAGACTGCAGATGTGAAGGTACTAGATGAAGAGCTTAGGCCTGCATGTAATTAATACTTAACAGCTGGGGCAAAACAGGAACGGGACATAAAATCTGAGATCAGCTCTTTAAGTGTAAGTTACTTGAGCCTTTTCAAAAAGCACTTCTTTGAATTAATATTAGATGGTTTGGTGTTCTTAGGGGCAATTAAAGTAAACATAATTAAGAGCTTGATTTTTGTGTTGCTGCCTAGTATGGACTTTCTGTCGGATTTTGAGATGATGCTGCAACGAAAAAAGAGCATGAGTGGCAAGCGCAGACGCAATCGCGATGGCGGCACCTTCATCAGTGATGCAGATGATGTTGTGAGTGCCATGATTGTCAAGATGAATGAAGCCGCTGAGGTAAGGCAGGCACACACTTCTAGTACCTTCTCTTGCCTCCACTGAATTGGTACAGTGGCATCTTTAACTTCAGACTGCCTTAAAAGGTTTCTTGCTTTTTCTAATAAAGCATATACTGTTCTAAATTTTAAGCCTTGAAATAATATTAATTTTTAAAATTTAGTCACATGATCAGAAAAATGTGAAAAGACTACTAAGTGAAATGAACCTTTTTAAGTGAATGGCAGGTTGGTTGTCATGTCTGTCTGGTTCAGTACCAAGATTGATGTTAACTTAAAATATGAAACATACCCCCAATCTTATCTACAGGAATATTGGCAACTGATTGCTGGTAGATGAGGAAGAGCTGATCTTCCTAAAACAAGGAGCTCTAGATAGGCTGACTAGATTCAGTGGCTAGACAAGCACTGGAGAATGGCTGGGGGCGCTGACAACACAATGGACAGTAATAGGGATTACAGAGTATATGGGCTCCAGTGGGGGGGCGGGAGGGGATACAGGTGGGTGCCATTTGGGATGTGGTATATAGATGAATAAGGTTGTTTGGGATGTTCTGTATGAAATACACATAAAAAAATCAACAAAAAAAACCCGACTTATATTGTATCTGACTCATTGAACTTTTTTTTTTATGTATATGAGTGTATTGCCTGCATGTGTGTAAATGCACCCATGTCATGTAGTGCCTGTGGAGGTCAGAAGAAGGTGTCAGGTCCCCTGGAACTGGAGTTACATGCTTTTAGCCGGCATGTGGGTGCTGGGAGTTGAACCCAGGTCCTCTGCAAGAGCAGTCAGTACTTTTAACCACTGAGCTATCTCTCCAGGCCTTTGACTCATTGTAGTTTAAATTTTGTCCAAATTGTAAAAATCGGTAAGTTTATGTTTAGAAACCAAGTTCTGATTTTTCAGAAACAATTGCTGAGATGTATTGTTTTTGTTTTGAGGTTCAAGGGATTGAAACAAGGGTCTTAGAGTGCTCTACCATTGGGCTTTCCTGCCAGCTCCTTGCTGAAATATTGATGGATCTGGTGATCTGTGTCTGGGATTTGTTTCAAAACAATTCAAGGGTGAAAGGAGAGATAGGTAGACATCTAGTTAAGACCACTCCTGTATTTGATTGTTGGAATGTACAGTGTGCTTTGGTATATTTGTAGAATTTAATATTTTTGTAATTAAAAAATAGAAATTACCCAAATAAACAGTGAAACTCTATTTGATAATATAGTATACAAGTCTTATGCAAGGGAGATTATTCCTGAAGCTAAATCAGAATTTCCCATCTATGCTTTGTTCCTTTAGTGAACTCTGAACACTTGACAACTTGTCAGTATTGTAAATGAAATTGTGCCTCTCAATTTGTAATTGTTAAAGGCAATATTAAAAGTTCTGTAGGTTTGACTGACTAGACAGATAGAGAGTTTGGCTTTGTGCAAAATAACTCTTCTTGTAAGAAAAATTGAGTAGCTGCTCTTATATTTTAAAGTTCAGAATTAACAGTGGTTATAATTAGTTATTAACAGTTAATACTGCTTTATCTTAAATCTCTTTTTTGTTGTTCTGTTTTCTGAATAGGAAGATAGGCAGTTGAATAATCAGAAAAAGCCAGCACTGAAAAAATTAACTTTATTGCCTACTGTGGTTATGCACCTTAAGAAGTAAGTATTTTATTTTCCTGGAAAAGTTTTTCCTTTTAATGGAATGATCAACTATGCACTGATATTCTAAGATAATTTTAAAAATACAGTCTTATCAGTAATGATTAAATGTTCCTGAATTGTATTTCTTCATAAGTTTTTCTTAAATCTTGATGTTTAATGCAAACAGAACAAACATAAAACTGGTAGAGATCCGGTAAAATTTGATCTTGGGAGACACTACTTAAAGTCCGTGAATATATCCTAGTCTTTAATGATGCCCTTCCTCCTAAATTCTTGTTAGGAAATTCTTTCATTTGTTTAGTTATAGTTATGAGCAACTTTGTTTTCCCTTTGAATAAAATTGCAACCTACTTTTTTTTTTTTTTTTTTTTTTTTTTTTTTTTTTTAAACAGGATCTCATTATGTGGCCCTGGCTGTCTAGAACTCACTATAAATAAGACCAGATTGACCTTTCATTCACGGAGATCCACCTGCCTCTGCCAGGAGAATTATATTATACTCTTTGGTTTCTGACAGAGAATAGAATTTTGGATTCCCTACTCCTGAAACTGAGAAACACTGTTATAGATTGATAGGTGTGCCATCACCACGTTGAGCCTGGTGATTTTGTTTGTTTGTTTTTAGTTGTATAATTGGATTTCATTATTCTTACTGTCTGTACCATTCCATATCTGCATTAATCTATTTTGTAAAACTTGCATTTATTTTGTTATGTTCTTAGCAAATTATCTTTGTCAGAAGCTAATTTTTGTACTGCTTTTGAAACCACAATAGGGGCCCAGTAAGTATTGAGTATTTATACATGACTCTTTAAAAGCAGGTTTTTTGAAACGTTACTATGTAGAACAGTCAGAGGGTAATAAAGGAGAACTTAAAAAACTTGGTATTATTATCCTGATTGTCATTGTTATCATTATTATTGCAGGCAGGACCTTAAAGAAACATTTATTGACAGTGGTGTGATGTCTGCTATCAAAGAATGGCTCTCGCCTCTACCAGATAGGAGTTTGCCAGCACTGAAGATTCGGGAGGAACTGTTGAAGATTCTTCAAGAGGTTGGTCGTAGATTATCTGAGTGTTTGCACTTCATTAATTACCTAATGTGGTTTTTATGGTCAAACTGTTACATTTTGCTGTGTATTTATACATTTGCTCTGCTATAGCCTGCCAGAAAAGGATTTGAAAAAAGGACCATATCTTTTAATAAAGTGAGCAAAAAAGAGAGACCTTATGAAGCACACTATGACTGTAGTATTGAAGGAAAGAGATCTTAGAGCTGCTGCAGTGTGTCTTGGACCTGTTCTAGAGAGACTTGTAGTAGAAAGTACACCAAATTTAGAGTCTATAAACTTGAATTGGAATCTCTAGTTGGGTTCCCTTTATATGGTTGTGCCACCTTGGGCAAGGCAAGGTGCTTAACTTCTGAAGGAATTTGAAAGGAACCTATGTGTGCCAGGCATAGTGCTAGGTGCTTTATATGTATTTATCAATTTCTCGCAAGAAACTTGTACAGTGCTGTCTCCATTTTATACATTAAGAAGCTAAGAAGTTAATGACTTGTCCAAGGTCATGTGACTATCAGGTAACTGTGCTTGAATTCAGACTTAGGTCTTGGTATCCGGGGCCTGGGCTGCTGACCTCTAAGTATGCTTACTTCATGCTTCCTCACGTTACTAGGTTTTACTTCACTCATAGTAATACTCAAATCTCATCTGTTCATGTGAACACAAAAGGATGTTCCATGTGTTTAGATCCTGAAGAAGGAACTTTTTATTTGTTCTAATGTGAATGAAACAGGTCTTGAAGGTTCTGTAGAATACATTATTAGCTAGCCTCCTAGCTTCTGAGTAATTAATATGTATATATGTGTTTGTGTTCCCCAGCTACCTAGTGTGAGCCAGGAGACCCTGAAGCATAGTGGGATTGGACGAGCAGTGATGTATCTGTATAAGCACCCCAAGGAGTCAAGGTCCAACAAGGACATGGCAGGGAAATTAATCAGTATGTAAAGTTTGCTTTTTATTTGTTGTTTTTATGTCTATAGAGAGACATGCATATATAAGAACTATATTTTTAGCTATATTGTGGTAGGAAACCTCCCCCCCGCCCCCAGAACAAAGAAAAAGGAATGCAGCACAGTCTGTGCCTGAATGCACACACAATTCTGCCTGTTGCAACCTTGTAGCATAAAGCACCTAATCAGGACATGTGTATTGCCATATGTGGGAGACAAAGAAACTAAACTTAAAGGAAACTAATAGAAGGTATAAAAGACTGGGTCTTTTCTTGTTCAGGGTTCTGTCTTTTAGCACAGAGGTGCTAGCGCAATAAACTGCTTCCTGGAGAAAAGAAATTTCTTGGTGTCTTATTTCTCTAAATGTACCTGCAACAGTATTTGTTAAGTGATTCAATAAAATGGAATAGAAGGATTTTAGTGCCTTCTTATTAGTACCAGCTTTTTTCTCTTATACTTATAATGCTTTGGGGCATATTTAAATATGCTTTCTAGTATTAAACATAGCAAGTAAAAGCATACTTTTTCTAGCTATGGACCAAGAACATAAACGGTAGAATGCAGGCCTTGGGTTTAGCCAGGCCTCATTCAGAGTGTTGAGTCCTTCACTTTCCTGCATATCTTTAGCTGTTTTAAGCTCAAGCTTGGTCTCCACCTCTATAATAAAGAGATAGTAGTAAGTCTTAGTTTTCTTTAGGTTATTATAAAGATTAAATGAGAGGATATAGAGAGCTCATAATACTCAAGAAAAGTTAGCTACTGCTGCTATCGTTAGTCTCCAAAATCTTTTCCATGATCTTACTTAATAATGCCAGAGAAATCTAGATCCTAACTAAAGTGTATATAATCGGTACCACATTGATTATGAAGTCCTGCAGTTTTAATAATAAAATATTTGTTTTCATCATCTTTCTCAGTTCTTCCTGTGGTTCACATTTTAAAAAAAAAAATGGAATTTAAGTGACTTGTACTTGAATACAGTAATTATTTTCCTGTTGAATTTTTAGGACTATCAAAAACTTTTAGAGAAACTTCTTTTAGAGCTTTTACAGAAATTTATTTTATAAACTAGAGGCCTGTTACCATCTTTCATCTTGTTGCTGATCTGTAATTTATTACTTACTGAATAATAAGCTTTATTGCAATGACATTTTGCTCCTAGACTAAGAGAAGCAGAATATTCCCTCTGGTATCCATGACCTACTACAAAAGTGGTTCTGAACTTAGGGCTGGGGTCAGTGGTGCAATTTTAGAATCTGAGTAGACCCTCTAAGAATCCTTGCTTCTGGCTTACTGTGACAGCACTTTTCTGGCTTTATATAGTGTATTAATACAGCAGTAAGTTAAAGTGTGTTTTAGGAAAAAAGTGCCACTCAGCACCTGGGCATTTCTGACTAAACAGTGTGCAGATTGTGGTTTTTCATGGTCATTTGACCAGCTTTGTTAGATTTCAAGTACAGAGTCTACATCTGTTGTCTTAAAATGTAATTTTTTTTAACAGACTTAATTCACTATATTTTTCTCATATAAAAACCCTAAGTAGTAGCCACAGATGGAGCCTGGGTTCTCTGCACAGAGACTCTGGTGTGGGTTTTCACAAGATGATCGGTGAATTCCTATTAGGGAGACTTGGTGAAGACTGTCTCTTTCCAGAGGTCAGGGGTCAGATAGCTTGTAGGTCTTAGAGATGGCATCAAAGGTGGCCTTGGCGAAGTTGCCCAGGGTGGCAATGCAGCCCCTGGCTGGTGTGTAGCAGTCATCAGTAGCAGCCATCATCAGTAGCTTCTTAGGCACAGGAGCAGAGACAATGCCACTGCCTCAGGGGGCAGGGATGAGGCGCACCAGCACAGAGCCACAATGGCCTGTTACCTTGCAGGGGACGGTATGGGGCTTGCCAATTTTGTTTCCCCAGTAGCCTCTCCAAACAGGGACAATGGAAAGCTTGGCCAAGATGATGGCTCCTCAAATTGCAGTGGCTACCTCCTTGGAGCACTTAACACCCAGACCAACGTGACCGTTGTAGTCCCCAATGGCGACAAAAGCCTTTAACCTGGTCCGCTGGCCAGCCCGGGTCTGCTTCTGCACTGGCATGATCTTTAAAACCTCATCCTTAAGAGATGCTCCCAGGAAAAAGTTAAAATGTAATTTTAAAAAATTTAGATAATTTTTGACAACAATGGAATTCATTGGGCATGAGGATAAAAAAGAGTTTCAGGTTACTCTTTTCAGTGGAGAATCCTAGAAATTAAACTGCCTTAAAAATAATTAATTTTAAAAGATTGTCTTATGAAGTATCACCTAGCTTGTTTATGACTGCTAAAGTGGTCAGATGTTTTTCTTTAAATCTCTGGCAATTACTGGTTTAATGGAGCTTTTTATACTCTTACCCCGATTCAGCTAGAGTTAGTTATAATCCTGATATTAAGCTGTATTTTCCCTTTACATGATCAAAATAATGAGAGCATTAAGAAAACAAATACCTCATAAATGCCTAATCTACTGCCCTGTATTTGGTGTGATTATCTAAAATTCCAGTGCAAGAAATGCTATTTTGTGGACGAAATAATTATTTTTTTCTTACTGTAGATGAATGGTCTCGACCTATATTTGGTCTTACCTCAAACTACAAAGGAATGACAAGAGAAGAAAGGGAGCAGAGAGATCTAGAACAAATGCCTCAACGACGAAGAATGAGCAGGTATGAGGGAACAGGTATGAAAGCTCAAATGGAGTAACTTGTAGTTTAAGTATGATGGTGTGTGTACAGGGAAGGTCTTTCCCACACACCAAAACTGTTTGGGGCAGTTTGGTAAAATAGACTCTCTCTCACAGTATGGAAGTGCTGGGAATTTAGTGTTTTAGCCATTTATAGAAAACAACTTTATCTTTCTTAGTCCCATTTCCAAAATCCTAGGACAAAAAACAAACAACAAAAAATTACTGATGCAGTTTGTATTGGTATGCATGTAAGAGGGCAGTTATCAGAAATACAGTTCTTTTGGGTCACTCAGAATGAAACCTGGTACACCAATGAATGCTAAAGTGAACAGTACTTTAAAACAATTATTGGGTCATGAGAGGGCTCAGTGGGTAAAGGTGCTTGCTGTGCAAGTCTGGCCACCTAAAGTTTGATCCCCCAAAACTTCCATAAAAAATGGAGAGAACTAATTACACAAAGTTGTCCTCTGTCCTCCATATACACACCATGGCATGCACACCGTCACACACATCAGGTGTGGGTGGCACATACTCTATAATAAAATTTTTCAAAATAGGATCTATTTTCTATAACCCAATAAAAAAGCAGTAGTGATGGTATAGGTTTGATACTTTGATGTGCTCTAAGATTCCTGGTATCTATTTGTTTTTTTCCCAGCACTGGTGGTCAGACACCACGAAGAGACCTGGAGAAGGTGCTGACAGGAGAGGAGAAGTAAGGGTTTTGTCTTGATTTTTCTTAGTGTATATAGAGAATTTCTGTTCATTGTTTTAAGAAAAAAAATGAAATGTGTTCCTGTTGGTGAGGGGTGGTTTTCAGTCTAACATTCATTATCTTCCAAACATTGTATTGAGTGCTGTGGAGAATTAAGAAAATAATTAATTTAGCAATTTTGTTGCTGCCAGCTTAAGTGCTAGAATTTTTGTTAAGTTTTGAGAATACAAAAGCAACTTAAAAATTGTCCATGCTCTCAAAAACTATATTTTTATAGAGGGATGGTAGGCCAGAATGTGTGGGGTTAGTGTCCAGTCATACTTTCAGAGTAGCAGGCATGCTGAAGTTGTGGGCAACAGTGTGATACCAGGAGTGTTGGAAGACAAAACTGGAAATGCAGATATGGACCAGTGGAAGGCTGAGATCAAGATAGGGATTTTTCCCTTGTTGTTAGGATTCTGTAGAAGATTTTGAGCCTACAGGTAAAGCTGTCAAATTTGATTTATATAAAATTTTTTTGTTTGGTCTTTTTGAGACAGGGTCTCCTTGTAGCCCCAGCTAGCCTTGAACTCACAAGGGATCCGCCTGCCTCTGCATCCCAGTGTTGGGATTAAAGGTGTGCGACATCACGCCCAGCAAGCTCTCAAATTTGATTAGAAATGCTGGTGCTAAGGGTGTCATGCAGAACAAGTTGGGGCAGTGGGGCTGAAGGTAGTAAGTGATACTGTTAAATGGGGCCAGTAGTTCATAAGCAGAAGGTTGAAAGGACATTGTAAAGACAGCTTACTAAGGTTGATGACATCGTTGGGGAAGAATTTGACTGCATTTGAAGACTAACCAGTGATATTGCCATCCACTAAAACTAAGGTAAGTTCTATTTCAAGCTATTCAATGTGAGATACTTAATGATATACTCTTACTAACATCATGGATCTAGAAATTATTAGAGTAGAACCACAGACTTGATGGTTATCTCCATTGAAAGAAAAGAAATGTTAAATCTAGAATAGGAAATGAACAAATCATCTTTGCAAAGGAGTGTAGCAGAGTTGCTGGTAGAGAGTGATAGCATGTGGTCAGGAAGACTGTAACAAAGCCTGGAAATAGGTTACCAAAAGGGAGTAGATACGCAGGTGAATGTTGGCAGCCAGCCAGCACCTAGATTGCAGGAAGAGAATAGGAAGAAAATATAGCTCCTTTGAGATCTTTGCTCCCCACCCTCAGTAGATGGAGGTCTGCTTTCCCTTTACCTCCACAGAGAGTTCCCTAAAGAGTGAATGATTTAAATGCTCAGACATTGACAGAAGGCCTTTACTTATGAAGGATCATGATCTTAGTCTAGCATAGTTATTTTCAAATTTGCCTAGAGCCAAATATAAACACAAATGAGTGCAAATAGAACTGTGTAAAGAAAATGAGATAAGGGGCTGGAGAGATGGCTCAGCTTTTGAAAACATTGGTTGTTCTTGCAGAAGACCCAGGTTTGAATCCCAGCACCTACACGGCAGCTAACAACTGTCCATAACTCCAGTTCCAGGGGATCCGTGAGCCTCTTCTGTACTCCATGGGCATTGCACGACACGGGTGTACTTACCTACATGCAGGCAATACATGCATACACATAAAATAAAAATAATAAAATGTTTGAAAAAAAAAAGAAAATGAGATGAGTGGATTGTATCAGTGTCCCAGTTGTTATGTACTATGGTTTTACAAGTTGTTACCACTCGGGGAGAGACTAGATTTCTCATTTTGCTACTTCTCATAATTACATGGGAATCTGTAGTACCCCCACAAGTGTTCTACAAAAAGGAAACTAATGAAAATTAATGTATGGGTTGTGTATGCAAACCATGTGAACTGTGGACATTCTCAGAGCTTTGTGGGATCCTTGTACGCCCAAGAGCCGGTTAGAGTCCTCTTGAGCTGTAGGGGTAAAGCTCTTGCAGAGGACTGGGGAGAGGGGGTCCCGAACACCCATGAGGCATCTTACAACCTTCTGTAACTCCAATTCCAGGGAATATGATGGCCTCTTCTGGCCTCTGCAGGCACCAGGCACATATATGGTACTCGTACATTCATGCAGGCAAACACTTACACATATAAAATAAAAAGAAATCTTAAAAAGCAAACAGAGCCCTCTTGAGGCACCAGCCTTTAAAAAGACAGGGAATGATTACATCTGAAGTCAAGGAGAAACAAAGGGAGTTTGTGTAAACACAGATCTTGGTGTTGGGGTAAGAAGTTCACACAGCAGAGTGTCTAATGATGTGGCCAGCTGAGCTGGCAATGGTGTAAGTCACCAAGCTGTGAAACATGGCACCTGAATGAGGTGGACCTAAGAATAAAGCCGAAATCTCAGTTGGGCTCCCCTTTGGCCAACAAAAGCAGTATGTGTTTTTTCTTTCCTTCTTAGGGCTCTTAGACCTGGAGATCCTGGTTTCTGTGCCCGGGCCAGGGTCCCAATGCCTTCAAACAAGGACTATGTTGTCAGGCCCAAATGGAATGTGGAGATGGAGTCATCAAGGGTGAGTGAGCAGGAGAACAAGACCATTCAAATCTGTTTTCTTATTTAATAACCTGTATAGCAATTAAGGATTATTTGATTCACAGAGATCTATCTTGGGGTCTCTAACACAGTGAAATAATAAATCAAGCAATTAGAGAAAGAGCAAAATATTACCCAGAATGAAAGCTTACTAAACAGATGAATTTTTCTTTAGATTTAAAATGACATTATCAAATCAAGAAGTTTCTTATTAATCCCTTTATTTCAAGTAACTACGGAGTGTTCTGGTACAGCTATTTACTTGTTCATTCATTTAAAGAACCGTGAGTAACAATTTACCTGCTTCCTCAGATCCCCTCTTTCTCTTCAATTGTTTAAGCATTTCTGTTGTGAAATTGTCAAGGTAGATTCCTTTCATCATTGTAGACATTACTTAAATACTGTTTCTTGGTAATCTTTTTCTCCCATCAAACCACTCTTTCTAGCCTGGTATTCTTAAAAAGGGCTTAAGTCGATTGGAAAAGCATAAAAGGCGGTTTGCTGAACAGAAGCGACTCAGCAAAGTGCACCGAGCTGTCAAGTTCAGCATTGAAGGCAACAAGATGCCCTTGTAGTCCTGGTCCTACCAGAGTGTATCCAAGAGGTATCCCCAAGGAAGCCTGGGCTGTGCATGCGCTTAAACTGCCAACAGAGTGGAAACTAGTATGTGTATGTGCTTTCTTAACCAGAAAAGACCTGGCCTACCTTTAGCTTCTGAATTGATGATGCTGACTAGCATCTTAGGACATTAAAGGCCTCTTGAATTCTTAGCAGTTTCCATGGAGGTCCCTTCCTATGTCAGTACCTTGGAGACAAATAGATCATTATGTTCTTGACAAGCATTTTGTTGTATCTGATTAGTATCCATATTTATGAAGAAGGCTTTTAAAAAATATTTTTATTGGCCGGGCGTGGTGGTGCACGCCTTTAACCCCAGCACCCCAGAGGCAGAGACAGGCGGATCTCTGTGAGTTTAAGGCCAGCCTGGTCTATATAGTGGGTTCCAGGACAGCTGGGGCTACAGGGAGACCCTGTCTCAAAAAGACCCCCCATATATATATAATGTGTATGAATATATTGCCTGCATGTATGTGTAATTGCATCTGTGTTGCGCAGTGCCCATGGAGGTCAGAAGGGGTCATCACATCTCCTGAAACTGGAGTTAGAAACAGTTGTTAGCTGCCATGTTGGTGCTGGGTCCTCTGCAAGAATAGCCAGTGCTCTTAATTGCTGAGACATCTCTCCAGCCCATGAAAAAGGTTTTTATTTGAGCCCAGAATAGTGGCTGCATTTCAGGCATACTCACTGCTTAATGGCTTGCCTTGGTTTTGGAAGGGGACTTATTTTCTTGTAGTCAGTGCCATGATAGCATTCATTGAGGACTTAATACATAAAACCTTGTACTAGATATTTAGGAGATATATTTAACACATATTTGTGATGTGATCATAAGCCATTGGCCTGCTGTGGTTTGAGATCAGTAACACTTTGTTGCAGTGCATAGAGTGTGTTTTGGCCCCTTTTGTGCTTCTCCCTCACCTCCTCTCATGGTTCTGCTAGTGCACTTTGCTGTGATGCTTTCTGCCTATTGAAAATGAATAAAAGGGGGCTAGGTTCCTGCACAGAACTTCTTCCTCCATCTGCAGTTCCTTTTTTTTTCTGGTTTGTTCCATCTCTACATCCATGGCCACTCCACCTTGATATCCTTTCTCTATACCTATTTCTTTTTCTACTTTTCTCTCTTTTCTCATTATATCTTCCCTCTTTTTAGCCCAGCTTTCATATTTCCTTTTATAGTATTTCAGTGTTTTAGCATTGGGAACTAGGATATGGCAAGGTAAACATAATAAAAAGTCATTGGTCCATCCACTATGGAAGCACACTTAGTTCTGAGGGGCCAAGTGCCCATCTGCTGGTGTTGCTGGCTCTGGTCCCATTTCCCCCCAGGTGGAATGAATAAAAGTGTAATCTAACCTTTTCCTACACTGCGGAGAGGAGGAGAGAGCTCCCTTCCTGCATTCCCAGTGTTTCACATGATGATAATGTGCTGATAGTTATCTAGGATGCTAAAATGTGACTTTATTGGCCAGACTGCATATAGTTTTGTTTTTTCTCTTCTTTAAACCACCCTGTAGGTTTATCATTTTTAATGACTGTGTAATGTTCTGTATAATTTATGTGAATATATACTAATTTCTTTATTCATTCCTCTATGGTTTCTGATTTTTTTAAATTCTTAATATAGTAACTTGTACTACATTGATTTTTTTTTCCTGTTTGTCTATTAAAATGGCAGAGGCAGTGCATATTTTTGTATAAACTTTTAAAAATATAGGCAGTACAAATAAAATTAATATAACCTATAATACCACAAGTTAATATTAACTTTTTAGATTATATATTATCTTTTTGGTCCTTATTATGTGCATGCATAAACATAGTAATTTAAAATTTTTTTCAGTCAACGATATCATATTCTCTTATACTTTTGATTTGTTGGTTTGGTTTCTACTTAACATGGTATAATTCCATTTGACTAAACATTCTTAGTGATTTAGTATGTGTTTTCAGTTGTAATTTTTTGTTTTTAAAGCTTGCTAATCTTTTAAAAGCTTTGATTTTTTTTTTTTCTCCCTTCTGAAGCTTTCTCCTGTAGCTTTTTTAATGTCCTAAGAAGTGGAATAGAGTTGATGAATCAAGAAGGAAAATAATTGGATTTGGCTTGTTTGGTATTGTGTGTCTGTGTTAGAGCATAGGTTACTGAGCATCTGGCATCTATGTACATGCTGTGAATAGTAGACTGATACTAGCCTGGGTATGACCCACCCCAGCAGCCTACATAGCACTTTCTGGCACTATGAAAACTAGCCAGCAGAGTGAATCACCATTCTTAATAAATCGCTAATCACAGTAAACAAAGAATTCGTTCTGGTCTTCAGTGGCAGTGGCAGGCTTTTCTGGATTTAAACAAGCTATTTCTTGGAAACCGTATCTTTGTAAGACATGCAATCTTCCAAATAAAAAAGTAACAACTAAACCTAAAAGCAAGTGGAAGGAGTCCTAGGAATAGAGACCACAGGTATAGTCTGCATAGGATTCTGGATCCTGCTAAAGTGGAGCAGGGACTTACCCTGAGGCCAACCAAATCTCTAGAGCTTCAGCACATCGGAGTTTGCATTGTTCATTACGCTTAAGGCTCTTTCTCAGATGATATTTCTTTGTTCTTTTTCCACAAGCACTGTTTGAAAATCTATGTCAAGTAGTTGGCCTCACATTTGTTCTTTGAAAGGAAAAAGCATACAGTCATGTGTTAGTGATGAAACTGGGAAGATTGGAGTCCCTGTATTTCCCCTTCTGTCATCTAGGAAGTTTCCATGAACTGTGGCAAAATAAAAAGTGAGGCACACACAACAACAAAGTTAACCTTCATTGAGGGTTGAACAGCTTTTTCTAACACTTGCTGTGTCCTTGAGGTCACCAAAGCAGTTCTGGTTGTTATAGAGCTGGGAGCTCTTCTAACTACTAACTTTCAGATGAAAGATGAAAAACAAAACTAGATTTAATTATTTCAATAATTTACTCTTCAATTTTTCCCCCGCTCTTAGTTTCAGGCAGCCTCCAAGAAAGGTATCAGTCGACTGGATAAACAGATGAGAAAGTTCACAGATATCAGGAAAAAAAGCAGATCTGCACATGCAGTGAAAATCAGCATCGAGGGCAATAAAATGCCATTGTGACCTTGCCTGGGCCATGTCCCCATCTCTAAGAAATGTACAATGGACTCTTTGGAAAAAGAAGATACTTTAAATTTTTTAGTGTCTGTAAATGGCTCTGCTTGTGTCATGTGTTGTTGTAGGACTCACATTTCTCCCCATTGTATTTAAGACCATTTGTTGTGTGCTTTGTACAGAAGAATATTAGTCCTACTTCTATAATCTTTACACAATAAAATTTCATTGTGATTTTGGGGGGCGCTCTCATCATTGTCTTTGAAAATCAGTCTCTCTTTTTTTTTTTTTGATCTGAGGACTGAACCCAGGGTGCTCTACCACTGAGCTAAATCTCCAACCTCAGAAAATCATTCTCTGTAGGGGCAAAATTTGGTCTTTTTTGAGTGGGATAAAAGCTTCAGATACTACAGTGGTTTGTGACCCTTCAAAGCTCAATGCTGCTTGACTGCTGTAGTGAGGAATTTGTCTTGTCTTTAACCTTAGCTTCTAACAAGGAATATCTCAAATCCTTAAATTTCCTGAGTAGTAGGAATGTGTTTTTGTTACGTTCATAACTTGACTTATGTTTGGTGGCCTCTCGAGATTGCTTTAGGATGGAAGCTGGTCACCAGAAATAGATTTGGGCTAGTCAGATAACCTGTTTGATTTAATCATCCATGCCTATATAGTGAAGCCACAGTAAAGAACTCTAGACAAGCCAGGTGCTATGCACACCTATAATCCCAAAACTGGGGAGATTGAAACTGAAGGAAGAGGATTATGAGTTTGAGGCCAGCCTGGATTAATTACACGCAAGACTTAACTGCAAGAAAAAACACTCTGAACGCGGCAGCTCTGTGGATGTGCCTCGTTGACATGCCAGGAGAACAAGGGCATGGACACTCTGCATCTCCTTCCAGACTTCTATCTTCATTGGCCTGGTTGGCCCAGTTTGTATCCTTTTAAGATTAGCCATATAAACAGTATTTTCCTCAGAATTCTGTGAATCTTTTCAGCAAATTCTTGAACCCAGGGGTCCTTGGGAACTCCACATTTACAGCTACTCTGAAATGTCCATGGTCTGGAGGCATCACTTGTGGCCCACGTTTGAAGTGGAAGCAGTCTTGGGAAGGGAGGCCTGTTCCAAGGTCTAAGCTAACCCTGGGCATTTATCAGAATTGAATTGTAAACTCATTGGGTATACGTGTAATCCTAGCATTCTGGCTTCTGAGGCAGGAGAATTGGAAGCTGGGTTACTTAGACTCTTTGA